TGCGAAAGGCCCTATGTTAACATATAATTAGGAGTTTTTTTTTATAGATGATTATGGAATGGTGCAGCCGCCTGCGCTAACGGTTTACACTGGCGGGGCACCAGTGGAGGATGATAAGATGAACACGAGGTCAGGTCAGTTAGCACATTGTGACAAATTCACCAGGAATTTATCATGATGGTTTCCAGGGAAAACCGCGTGGAGGTCGACCTGACATGGTACATTGCTAGCAATATGGTCATGGGCTAAGTCCATATTACTAACAATCACCTTCATCCCGCATAATTAGGAGTTCGTGTATGAGGTTCTCGTACATTGCTGGGTATTCCACAGGTACTCATATTTTGAATACGTGGCCACTGCTCTGCGTACACGGTTCAATAACATCAATCAAAATGTTCGCGCGTGATTGTGTTCGCGGTACGACGGCGACGTCATGATGTATGAGATCCGCATAATATTCATGTAACTAATACATAAATATATTACAAAAATAACCCGCTGAGAGAGCCGCCGTCACAGCCAGCGGTGGAATCAATTTTAACGTGATCTAATCTCAAGTTTATAGTTAACTAGCTACTCACCTCGGCTTCGCACGGGTGTACATGTATTATACATATAAACCTTCCTCTTGAATCACTATATCTATTAACAAACCGCTTCAAAATCCGTTGCGTACTTTTAAAGATTTAAGCATACATAGGGACGGACAGATAGCAACATCGACTTTGTTTTATATTATACTAGCTTTTGCCCGCGTTAACTTATCCCCTTAGGGGTGGAATTTATCAAAATCCTTTCTTAGAGGATGTCTACGTCATAGTAGCTTTATGCATGCAAAGTCTCAGCCCGATCGATTTAAAATTGACAAAGTTTCATACAAACTTTCATCCCCTATTTTATCCCCTTGGGGGTAGAATTAATCGAAATCCTTTCTTAGCGGATGCCTACGTCATAACATCTACCTGCATGCCAAATTTCAGCCCGATCCGTCCAGTGGTTTGGGCTGTGCGTTGATAGATCACTATGTCAGTCATCTTTGAGTTATATATATTTAGATAGTGATATAATTTTGTAGTCTTCCTGTTTTTATTTCTCTCTTTTGCCTGGCCTTAGTCCCGTTTATGATCGGCCCGTCTGGTCAATCTTCGCCAGTACAGTCTGTCCTGGATCGTCTGGGGTGTTTAAGTCCCTATTCATAACAGACATCCATGTGAGACGGGGTCTGCCGCATCTTGACTTCTGTGTTCTGTGTTGGGTACTCACCCCGCACAGAAGTCAAGTGTCATGTGTATTAAGCAATTAAAACTTTGGCTGTATCCAATCGCGGCTGAAGTACTAGATAATATATTTATAATAAAAAAAAACTCATGTCAAGTACTGTTCTTGGCATGCGATCTGATGGTCACCTCATGAAATGACCGTACCACCTTAGGTGGCTCTCCAAAACCTACTCTAGTATATGTAGGTGTCACCTTAAAACTGCCTCGAACACGGATGTTTTTGATGTAGTCCAAAATTGTTATCCTACCAGCCAAAGAATTCTTATTTCTGAGACATTCAGTTCAATTTCTGGGTACTTTTTTAGTCTTCATGTGTTCCTATTGGCTAATATGCTTTCTATTTATCTACTTCCAGGAAGCAAACAATATTTTCCACTACTGAGTGGTGATAAAAGAGTGATTTTGAATTAAAACAAGCAAACTGACAGACACTTTCGCATTTATAATACTTCAAAATGTTACTTTGTATTTTTTTAGATATTATATACCACATATATGTACTTAGTATAGATGGAGAATGGATAGCAATCAATCGTCATGTACAACATTAAGGTTCGTAGACAGACGGACATTTTATTTATGTTTTAGTCATATATATTTTCGACCGATTGTTGAATCAGCCTGTTTTTTGTGCTACAAAATATTAGTCCGCGTAAATTGTTGACATTTCCTTTCAATTTCCCATTCAAACGCTTGACAACTCTTTTTTCGTATTAAAAAGGAGCCTATGTCCTTTCTTAGGTTCTAAACTATCTGTGTACTAAATTTTTTTTAAATCGGTTCAGTAGTTTTGGCGTGAAAGCGACAGACAGATAGACAGACAGACAAAGTTACTTTCGCATTTACATATAATATTAGTAAGGGTAATGATAATAAAAAACATCAAAGTATTTATAGTTCAGCTGTCCTACGTATTCACCTCGCGCCCGTTGCTAGTCTTGAGGACTCCTCACAGGTCTGGATTAACTATAGCCATTAAGAATTCAGAAAAAAACACACAAAACATATTGTTACATTGCACCCCAAACCTATCTGTGCAATGTCCTAACTAAATAATACTACTTCATTGTCGGTAAGTTGATTTGTTATGTACACACTTATCCTTACTAATATCACAGATAATATAATATTACACACTAATATTATAAATACGAAAGTAACTCTGTCTGTCAGTCTGTCTCGCTTTCACGCCTAAACCACTGAACCGATTTAAATGAAATTTGGTACATAGTCGAGACCCTGACAAAGGACATAGGCTACTTTTTAGTGTGAAAAAAGGGTTGCAAGTAGTTGAAAGGGAATATGAAAGGTTCTATGGAAGTATCGGCATTTTACGCGGACGAAGTCGCGGGCGCAGCTAGTTATATATATATAAGAGTTTCGTTCTATGTTTGTTTAAATTTCTATGTTATGTATACAAAAATGTATTCGACTAAAGGACTTGTATCCATGACCATGAAGAAGTCATTATTAAAAAAAAAAATTACCTAAACCTCTTTTTACTATTTCACAAGTGACACTTAAAATATGTCAATTTAACTTCAATTACAACAGGGCTGGGTGTATTCCGTAATAGTGATGCAGTATCATTACACGCGGATGTAACTAAGAGTGACAATGTATGACATGGGGGTGGCTGGCAGCCGCTAATGGGACGGCGATCACCGTTGGCGGCAGATGTGGGGGGCGCGGCCGCGTGCGCGGTGATGCGCGTGCTGATCGTGTACGCGTGCATCGTGCTGGTGCACTCGTTGCTGCACTGGTGCCGCCGGATTCTCCGAACACGCGCTCGGGCTCTCGTTCCCAGCGAGGACGGCTACTTCCCGTGCCGAGGTGAGTGCTGACCTCCTCGCGCGGCATGCCACGTCACCGCGTCTGCACTTGGCCCGACTCTAAGTTTACACTGCAACTGCTACTCAACTCCGCTTGGCTCGTTTTCTTTTACATGTTCTTACTGTCTCTTTTTGAACTAATAGAACTATTGCGACCAAAACCTTTGCGGTTCCGGCCTGTGATATCGATGAAGCCTCAATCTGACTTCAATGACGATAGTACAGAATTGTGTCCAAATTGTCTAGCATTGAGAGAAAAAGTAAAACATACCACTCCATGTCTTTTATTATAATCGTAATAAAACATATATGCTAACATTCTAAATTGTTTTAATGATTTCATTTGTTGTAATCTTTATTTTAATAATAAACAAAAATCCTCATAATGAAAATTGGGCTAATATAGCAGTAATAATATCTAAACATGGCCATATCTAAAATTTGGATATGGTCACACAGTCAGTGTGACCGTACATGATAATATGTGCTACTTTGGCAAGAGTAACTAAAAAATGATACAACACCATTTGATTTCATTTTGCATTATACAATAACAATAAAAAGTGGCATGTCTAATTTTATCATTACTTCTCGTCTTAAACTACTTTTAGATTTTACAAGTATCATAAAAACATATATTAAGTGTCGTATATGTGGGTCCGTATCGGAAAAATATAACAATATCTTATTAAACATTAATAAGATATTGTTATATTTTTCCGATATTTATTAATCATGAAATTTTAACAATGTAAATCACCATTATATAGTATAGTATAGTATAGTATATATATGTAAATCACCATTATATAGTATAGTAATCTTTACGTACGCTCTCTCGTGTGTGGTGGCCCCACTGAAAATCAGCACTGTGGTATATATATACTGCAGTATAAATGCTGAGTGGGAGTCACATTCAGCGTTACTAGTATGTTTTAGCTTTTAGCTTTTAAATTGTATAGTATATAAGATAGATAGCATCTAAGAATACTGTAATGCTGAATAAATATCTTTATTATTATTATTATTATTATTATTATATAGAACAGAACTGTGTGTAGAAACCTATATGACATTTGACATTTATGTTATTGACATTGACGTTGATTTTTTTTATACTGCTATGGCGGCAAACAAGCATACGGCCCATCTGATGGTAAATGGTTACCGTAGCCTATGGACGCCTAAAGCACCAGGAGTGTCACGTGCGCGTTGCCGATAAGATTTGATAGATCACTTTATATACGTAACAAAGTATGGTATCTAAATGATTTACTTATTACTCTTCGACTTCCTTTCGTTATGTATAGGTTTACACTATATGCTTTATTCCATTGAATAGAATAAGAATAGAATTTTTATTAACTCATTTTTACAGTAATAACATAAGAAATACAAGAATAATTGACCATAGGACTGTGGACCACAACTCAGCATAATGCTGGAACTAGTTTCCAGTGCTGATTTTCAGTTGGGCCCCCAGTACGGACGCGCAAATATTACAATTAAAAAATACGTATACATTAACTTAATAAACCAGATATTGTGCAATTAAAATTAAAATAATAATATCAAGAGAAAAGTATATAAATAATAAAAAGTAAAATTATATATTAATAATCTTAAATAATAATCCTAAAACATTATATACGTAATGGATAAAAGAAAAAATAAACAATTATAAAGAAATAAAATAAAAAAAAAAAATACCCACAGTGATGCGTACGGTGCACTTTATGTATTCTAATAACGGTATTGTAGTATTAAAATAAAAATATCCATAACACTTTAACATTGCGTAATTTTTATTGACTATAAATTAAAAGAAATGGCAATTATGATCTATTGCATAAATTTAGCACATTTATTGTAAATAGCAGTTGGCAACATTTCTATTGAGTTTGTTTTTGTTACCGGTAATATAACAAAAGAAATTGTAATATCGTCATTAATAGTATAATATATTTCTATAATCAAGAAAAATGGTCGTCATAGATCCCGGTGCGTGGTCTCCCGACGACACTATGCGAATTTTAATAGCTTCAGATATACATTTAGGTTATCTGGAAAACGACGCCGTTCGCGGGGAAGACAGTTTCATTGCTTTCGAGGAAGTCTTGTCATTGGCCGTTCAGTACGATGCGGATTTGATATTGCTCGGTGGCGATCTATTCGATCACGCAAAGCCTTCCCCTGGGTGTATGTTCAAATGCACACAACTCATCAGGAAGTACTGTTTAGGAGATAAACCTATCAGTGTGGAGCTGTTGTCAGATCAGTTGGTGAACTTTTCTCGTGTCGTCAATTATGAAGATCCTAATTTAAATGTGTCATACCCTATACTGTCTATACATGGTAATCATGATGACCCCGTCGGGCAAAGCAGCATCAGCTCTCTCGATATTTTATCCATCACTGGTCTGGTTAACTACTTTGGTAAATGGACAGACTACACTCAGGTTCGGATCACACCTGTTCTCATGCAGAAAGGAGCCACTAAACTGGCCCTGTACGGTCTCAGCCATCTCAAAGACCAGCGGCTGTCTCGACTGTTTGCAGAAAACAAAGTGGAAATAGAACGACCCGATGATGGAAATGAGTGGTTCAATTTGTTAACTTTGCATCAAAACAGAGCAGACCGGGGCCCCAGTAATTATATACGTGAAGATGTGTTGCCTAGTTTTTTGGACCTAGTAGTGTGGGGTCACGAACATGACTGTCAGTTGTATGAAATTAAAGAAAATAAAACAGACAATGAAAAATTTTTCGTTGTGCAGCCCGGGAGCACAGTTGCAACTTCGTTAGCATCAGGTGAGGCACTACCGAAGCACTGTGCACTATTGCAACTGCATAAAAGTGATTATATACTGACACCTATCCCATTGAAGACTGTTCGCCCTTTTATTTTTAAAACTATAGTCTTGTCTGAAGAGAATTTGGGAGCAAAGGAAGTTAATGAAAATGAAAAGGTACAGGAATTTTTAAAATCAAGAATAAATGAAGCTATCTCCGAAGCCGAGAAGCTTCGCAGTGGGGATCCTAAGCAACCGGTGCTGCCCTTGGTGAGGCTTAGTGTATTTTATGAACGGGAGGAGCAGGACTTCAATAGAGTGAGATTCGGACAAAACTTTTACGGTTTAGTCGCCAACCCAAATGATATATTAATTATGAAGAAAGAAAAAAGAATAAGAGAGAAAAAGGAGCAAATAGTGTCAGATGACAATCATATTGCAGGAGTAGCCGCGGAAGCCGTGGACGTAGAATCTCTGCTGCGAACTTACTTTGAATCTCTACCTGCGGAGAGAAAACTCCAAGTGCTATCGGTGCGCGCCGTTACAGATGCGGTAAGAGAATTCACCATAAAACACGACGATGACGTATTCAGGAAAGTCTTCGACGCTCACAAAGCCCGATTCGTCTCGTCGCTGCTCGAGTCTACGGCGGATGACGACGAGGAAGTCGCAGACCAGATTCGCGTTTGTAAACAAGAGCTGGATGCGGCCGACGACGATCAGCTCAGGAAGCTCATAGACACAACGGTAACTCCAAAGTTGGCCAACACTTCCATGAAGCGCGCCGTGGTGGTGCTGTCGAGCGACGACGAGGCCAAGGTGGAGGAGTTCACGGGGCGCGGGCGCGGTCGCGGGGCGCGGGGCGCGCGGGGGGCCCGGGCCCGAGGTCGCGGCCGGGCCCGAGGCCGGCCCGAGCCCGACACGCCGCCCGAGCCCGCGCCCGAGCGCCGCTCCACGCCGCGCCGGTCGGCGGCGCAGAAGTCCGCCAACTGGCTACAGAACTTGGCCACGTCGCGGCGACGTCGCGAATCGTCGGATATAGAGGATTCCGACTAAAATATCTGCTATTAAGCATTCCTTTTCAATAAAATAATTTAAAAATTAATGGTCTCGTTATTTTGATTAATAAAATATGTTTTCTGTTTATTAATGGTATGGTCAGAAGTACCTGAAATCCCAAGTCCAATTCAATCGCTATTTCTAAATGTTGTAATGCATGTAAATGCCAATATTTCATAAATAAATATAAATATTATTCAATATAAATTACTATTAATTAATAAGTTTACAGTCAGTTACTATTACATGCTATTACACAGCAACACACTATTACCACATAATATGTTACATACTATTTATTTTTAGTGTCACGAACATTTACTGTACTCGACTTTCTTGTATATAGACGATATTAGTCACTCTATAAATGGAATGACGAGCAAACACACGGCCACCTGATGGTAAATGGTAACCGTTACCTAAATATATAGGCAGCATGGACGTCACGTTATACCACTCATACGGTGCAATGCCAGATATCTAACATACTCCATTGCCCTTTAATTGAGATGCAATTTTTTAGTCTACTTCGTTAGATGTATCGGTTATCACTTACTATAAATCGATATGGGGTCAGCTAGATTGCGGACCTAAGTTTAGAGGTTTAGCGCACCGCTTTATTTCGATGGTCGCGAGTTCAATTTTTGCACGGAACAAACATTTGTATTCATGAGTACGATTGTTGGTATTGGTTCGAGTATATTCTATGTATATTATGTACATATTTATGAAAGATATATCAAAGTACATGTATCAGTTGTATAGTATCTATAACACAAGCTCTGCTTAACTTGGAACAAGATGGCGTCGAGTGAATTGTCCAAAGATAATAGCATTCCTGATAGTTTTATAAAAATCGTCATTTATCAGCTTCTATAAACAGAACGTCAGTTATTTATATAGTTACAAATCCTCGGAACGGTGAGGTCCCTCCGTGAAGCCTGTAAACCAAACCTGACACCAAAAGGCTTCTGCATTTCTGGGAGGAGCTTTACTGGCTACTTTAGTAGTATCGGTTCTATACGCACAACGGCCCAGATCAATGGCTAAATGCAAAGAATAGAGTCCTATTTACATATAGTCTAACATTTATTAAAAATGTCATGTATTTTAATTATAAATAAATCATACTTCACTATTATGAACCGGGTAAAAGAAATAAAAACTTAGTATTTTTATTTTTTATTGTAATAAAAATACACTATTCACAAAACCACAAACAATCGTCATCACAGGCGGTAATTTAAGATTAAAGTAATTTAATTAATACAATATATTACAATTAAAACAAGAGATGGTTCGTTATGTACATTAGATCCCATCAAAAACATAAATGTGAAATGATAGCCGAGTTTAATATTATGATATATGCCTTGATTGTTGACTTCTACGACAAAAGAGGTGAGATCTAAATGGTTGCCAAGTTCAATGGTCCGTCCTGAAATGTATTTATAACAATATAAAATATCATTTCTTCTTATAACTTAGAATAATATACTGTAGCCTAAGGTCTAACTACAACAATTTACCAGTTTCAGATTTTTTCCTTTATATTTTTTAGGTTTTAGATATTTATTCTCATTAAGAATTACAAATAATTCACTTAACATGAGAACTAAAAGCATAAACTTATACAAAATTAAATATTAGTGGAAATACAAAAGAAGGTGTACATATATAATGCGGACGGTGCAGTAACAAAGTCTACGCAGTAACTACCCGCATAAATGATAACATTTATTGGTTGCTTACCGCGCATAGATGGCCTCAGCGGTACTGGGTTCACATGTACACAGATGTATCAGATCATCATGTACTAGATGTGGCATATTAGAGAGTTTAATTTTTTTTTATTATTATTTTTTTTTTTTTTAATATTAATTTTTATTTATATTTTATTTATTTATTAATTATTTATGATATTTACAAATAAAAATAAATAAATTATAAGAAAAACACTATATATATCTATAGCGACATATTTTTTGAGATTACTAATAGTGGTTTATTATATAGTGTTTCAATAGTTTTTTAAATGTAGTTATTGATTGCGATTCTTTAATGTCTTTGGGGAGTTTATTATAAATCTGTGCGCCTTCACATACAATGGTTTTTCTGCCATAGTTTATATTCACCTAATTACCTATCTGCATGCCAAATTTGAACTACCTAGGTCATCTGGAAGTGGGTTATAATTTTGATCTATAGTTGATCAGTGATAAAAATGACGATATTTGGACGTTAATATCTAAATAACCGTTTGAGATATGTTTATGAAATTTGGAACACATATTTATCTCGCAAGTCTCAATATATGAACCAAATTTGACAGGTTTATGTGAAAGAGTTTTTGAGTTATTAGGGGGTCAAAAGTGGCTCCAAATGGTTCCTGTAAATATACACACGGTGCTGCTCGCCAGTTCTCTTACTTGAAACTCGGCTTGACACGCTACCGCGTGTCTAGATATTAATATAGTTACTTACTAACAGTACAGAGGACAAAATATTTATGTTTCATTCTAGGTAATCAAACGTAATACTATTTTGCTTAAACTTTTTTGTTGTAGTATACATATTTATTATTTACTAGCTGTTCCCGCGACTTCGTCCGCGTGGAATTGAACTTAATATTTCTAAAATAAAAGTAGCCTAAGTTACTCCTTATTATATCAGCTACTTGCCAATAAAAGTCCCGTCAAAATCGGTCCAGCCATTTCAGATTTAGCCGAAACAAACAGACAGTTTGTAAAAAATGTTATTTTGGTGTGTGTACCGTATTTATATTCCTATGCATGTAGTAAAAAACTGTTATGTCAATATTACAAACAGAGACTCCAATTTTATTTATATGTATAGGTTTGTTTTCAAAATATGTATAACCCTTTGCTAACAATGTGTTATATATATTTTGTGCCATGCGACGGTACTATTTCAGGTTGTGCACACCACGCGGTTCCCCTTGTAAACTATTATGATATGTTCCTGGTGAATTCGTTACGATGGGCTGACTGTCAACTGACTTGATCTCATATTCATCTTATCGCCCTCTACTGGTGCTTTCTATGGTCTGGTTGTATTCTATGTATATTATGATCTAGATTTTGCCCGCGGCTTCGCTCGCGTTTATTTATCCCCTTAGGGGTGGAATTATCAAAAGCCTATTTTAGGGGATGCTTATGTTATAGTAGGTTTATGCATGCAAAGTCTCAGCCCTATCGGTTTAAAATCGACAAAGTTTCATACAAACTTTCATCCCCTATTTTATACCATTGGGGGTAGAATTAATCGAAATCCTCTCTTAGCGGATGCCTACGTAATAACATCTACCTGCATGCCAAATTTCAGTCCGATCCGTCCAATGATTTAGGCTGTGCATTGATAGATCACTATGTCAGTCACATCTGAGTTATATATATTTAGAATTTACAATAAAAACTAAGCATTATATCAGTTGTCTCGTACCCATAACACAAGCTCTGCTTACAGTAGAACTAGATGGCATGTGAATTGTTCAGATAAAAAAAGAGTTTGGAACAAATTAATGCTAATGGTTTACGCTGGCGACGCATCAGTAGAGTATTATAAGATGAACACGAGGTCAGGTCAGTTAGCCCATCGCAACAAATTCACCAGGAAATTATCACGACTGTTTCCAGGGGGAACCGCGTGGGGTCAACCATGGTACATCGCTAGCAATGGGGACATAAGTCCACATTACTAACAATCCCCTTCCCAACTGGAGCTAGAAGCTAGGGGCATGTGCGCCGGTGAGTAGCGGTGAGTAGCGGTGAGTAGCGGTGAGTAGCGGTGAGCAGCGGGGGCGGTGCGCCCCGGAGAGGTCGGGAGCGGCTCAGGAGAGCACGGTGTGGAGGTAGGAGAGCGCGGCGGCGGCGGCGGCGGGCCGGTCGCGGCCGGGCACGGCCAGCGCGGGCTCGGTGGGCGTGAGTCTGACGACGCTGACGGAGCCCCCGGAGAGGCAGTCCAGCTGGCTCCACTCGAGCTCGAGCCCGAGCGCGCTGGCCGCCGCCTGCAGCCGCACCTCGGCCGGCAGCTGCGTGCCGGTCGCCAGCGCCTCCCGCCCCAGAGACAGCGCGCTCTCGTCTGCACGCACGTTTATTAATTATCTCTACACGTTTTTTCCTACTACTCCAATGCTGCAGCCGCGGCTGGCCTTTACGGCTTCACCGGACGATAGAGACCGTGCATATGGCACTACAAACCGAAGGAAGGATTTATGGAGCGGCCGAATGCCAACTTCAGCTCGATGGATACGTGCCTTTACACGCACGTACAGAAATGCACGCGTTTAGCGCGGGAGAGCCGACACGCGCGATTGTGTGTGATTGCATAGGATTATTTGTCAAGATCTCTCTTTCGCACGCTTTCTCTTTTTAAAAAATTTTTTTAGACCACATATTTTACTTTCCTGACACGTTTAAGATTTATAAATTATATATATATATATATATATAGTTATATTTTTGATCTATAGTCAAAAGTCCGCCATTTTACATTAATAATTAATTATTACAAAAAGCCGCTAGAGCACTCACGACTGAACGAATTGCGCGAATTGTGTTCTAATTCTCTTTATCTACATTTAGATGCACATTCTTTTCTGCGAGACAGTCAACTCCCGGATATGCTCCTTGTATATCCGTCATACTGGATATGTTCAGGTTGCGAACACTGATTAGAGTTTTTCTTTTTTGCAATAATATATGCTGGTGGTCACTCTATTCTCACAAATTTGATTTTAAATGTATCTGTATTATTGTAAATATGTACAACATTTATTTTTAAAAAAATACGAGTTGAGTATCCTGTCAGTTCTTCTCATCTCGGAATCACTCCGAACTGACGGTAGATTTGACATATACTAAGAGTCTATAATAGACCTACATGAATAAAGATATTTTGAATTTCAATTTATTCAAATTGTAAAGGATAAAATTGTAAAAAAACGTGTAAAGGAAGCCATTACACTCCGATCGATCCTCTCTTCCAATTTAAATGAGAATAGAATTAATAGAGACATTCCAACACCTAGGTGTTCTCACACTAAAGTCATATCCGTCAAACAGGAGTTAACCTTTAATTACTTCCAAATCCTTCCACGTGTTAGGATGAAAAAGATTGGAATCTGCACTCGCCATTATAGTTCGGTGAAGCTGTAAAGGCCAATTGCGGCCAACAGCATCAGAATGTTTGAAAAATACAGTCATTCGATATTCTGCTCAGGGCACTACATACACTACAAAGATATCTGTAAACTCAACGAGACCTGATAGGATATAATATTTATCAACTTAATAAGCTATAATATGCATTTCCATTATTTAAAAATGTTTGTTTGTTAGCTACAGCATATGTTTTAATTTAGTAGACTGTTATTTTTTGATATATGATTTTATGAGTACTTGTGACACATACACGGCTCTCGTGTTAGTACTGTAATTTATTTTATATTACATGTCTCTCCGTGATAACCTGTAAGTGGCCGTTCTGATTTAATTATGTTTATAGCTATATTTGTAAATAGCCTTGGTTTTCCGAAAATAAATAAATATGCAATCCACAGTCAGTTATTTTTTTTAACTACAGTATTTTGTTAATTTCTATATGTAATAATTAAATTACAATTAAGTTTAACTGAATTTATAAATTATTACTTTCACTAAGAATAGTACTAGAATTTATTAAAAATGTTTCTGTATAGTAATCATATAAATTCAAAAGTTTCTTTGTTAAGCTGTAACATCCTAAGTGCTCAACTAATTTTCATAAAATTATAAAATTTAGCATACATACATTTTGGTCCATCCTTGACCACTCCATGGGCAGTTGAAAGTTTGCAGCATAAGTTAAGCAAAATATAATTGATATTTTGAAATCATTAGCTTTTGCTTACCCAAACTTAAAGGTAACTCTAGATGGTATTCAGATATTTTCTGACCTAGATTGGGTCTGTTCATTATTTCTCGTACTTCGGTGCTCTTGGTCATCGCTTTCTCAACAGCTCGAGCTAGTGCCTCCTCCTGGAATGACATATATTTCAAATCTGAATATATATAACTCAAAGGTGACTGACATAGTGATCTATCAACGCACAGCCCAAACCACTGGACGGATCCGGCTGAAATTTGGCATGCAGGTTGATGTTATGACGTAGGCATCCGCTAAGAAAGGATTTTGATTAATTCCACCCCCAAGGGGATAAAATAGGGGATGAAAGTTTGTATGAAACTTTTTCAATTTTAACCGATCGGGCTGAGACTTTGCATGCATAAAGCTACTATAAGGTAGGCATCCCCTAAGAAAGCATTTTGATGATGATTTTGAAATTCCACCCCTAAAGGGTTAAATTAACACGAGCGAAGCCGCGGGCTAAAAGTTAGTATTAGATATAGATAGATATATATATATATATATATATATATATAACATACATATTGATAGGCCCTTTGTCCTACTTGAAAAGTATGTGATGCGGACGATTATGCGGAAATATTCCGCTTATTCAAGTAATCGCAAATTAATTTTTATGTAAGAAAGCCTATTACAGGATAGACGAATTCATAGAAGACAACATATCAAGTAAATAATTAGTTTATTAGCATACAACGTTATAATTTGTTTATCTCATTGCTTTCTTGATTCAATTATTTTAGAAATATGAAAGCGTAGCGGGTTTTGTATTAATTGCCGCATGCATTCTTATGTGAAATGTGAATACTATAAACATCAGATGGTAATTGTGAGTAGCTATGACGTGGTCTGGTGTTTTGAGTAGTCATGCTCACTAAAATGTCCAGACTTGTGGCGGCGTGGTGGGCCGGGTCATTGGGCTCCCTAAAATATGGTCGAGCGCAGTGATGGCTGGCTCATCCGTCATACTCGTGAACGGGTGCTGCTTGTAGGGACTGGTCTGCTCTAATCACTATGACTGATTTCCTCTTATTAATTGTTTAACCAGTTGGTTATGTATTCAATATTTTTTTCTTTTTGAGTATTTAATTGAATTAGTGCTAATCGGTGGTTTGTATTCACACACTTAAACTTAAATTGTAAGTAAGAATAAATTATTTAAAAGAAAGTTTCTTGCTCGTTCTTCTTGTGATGAGACAGATTTCCGAACGAGCGGTAGATTAAAAAAAAATGTAATGACTATTCAAAAGTGCTTCAATGTAAGTTTATTTGAATAAATGATTTTCTATTCTATTCTATTCTATTCTTAACAATATTACCAACACTAAAATATACAAATTAAATTAAATTAAATAAAATAAGGCATTTATTTTATATATTTTTTTAATTTAATTTAATTTGTATATTTTAGTGTTGGTAATATTGTTAATTTGCGATTAAATGACTTAATTGTTTGCAACTTGCCACTAGGCAAAGTGCCATGCAGTGATTGTTTAAAATTTGCTTTGGTTGTTACGCCTGGGCCTCGCTCTTGTAGGAGTATCGCATCTTGTACAAGTTCGAGGCCCAGGGCGATTGTCCTGTTCGTCCCACCTTCGGCTGCCACTATTGATATATGATATATAAAAGGACGTTATTGTTTGAACAACGTCTCTTGTAAATCTTTATATATAAAAATTACGTGTCAACGTGACACGTTCGTCCGCGATGGATAATTATAATAATAATATAGTGAGTAATAGGCTTTGCTTAATAAATATGATTTAAATCTGCACATATAAATAAAATTGGAGTGTCTGTTTGTAATATTGAATTTTTTTTAACAAATGCATATGAATATAAATACGGTACATACACTAAAATAACATTCTTAATAATTTTTGTCTGTCTGTGTGTCAAACTGTTTCTTCCGGCTAATCTCTGAAATGGCTGGACCGATTTTTGGCAGGTAGCTGATGTTATAAGGAGTAACTTAGCCTAAGTTACTTTTATTTTAGAAATATAAAGTTATTTTCCACGCGGACGAAGTCGCGGGTACAGCTAGTAAATAAATAATGTGTGATACCTCATCGAAGTCCTTGGTGGCGCGCGCGAGGTTCTCCCGCAGGTAGGTGTAGAGGTGGTGCGCGGCGAGCTGGCGCGCGGCCTTCTTGGTGGTGCAGGTGGCGGCGCGGGCGTGGTCTCCCACGCGCGCCGTCATGGTGAAGTGGCGCAGGTGCGGCGGGCCCGTGTCGCCCACCAGCTCGTACTCGGGCGCCGGCAGCCGGAACTCCATGCACAGCTCGCCCAGCAGCGCCACGTAGCTGCGGGGGCCCAGCGGACCCAGGGGGCCCAGGGGGCTCGCCTCCGACGGGTCCAGCCGGTCCGTGCCCTCGAACCGACTTTTCGCCTGCGTCACATTGGCGCCGAAACGACCGACGTGTCATATAATGCAAATAAAAATAATATATCCCGTTGGGGGAAAAGTGGATTGTTAGTAATGTGGACTAAAATTTCACTTCAAATATCCGGGTCCGGAACGCCGCACTACCTGGTACACGGCCTACACCACTTGTTCCCGTACCGTCTGACGTCGTGTGACGCAGTATACCCCAGGGCAGTGATATACGATGGTATTCAAAAACAAAGAATCTCCTTATGAACTACAATGCTATATATATTACATAACTATGTGTCATATAATTATATTTTTCCACACTATCCGGATTTAAGTTAATTTATCTTGAGACTAAATTACAGTGGACCCGCGGTAATCCGGTCCCCCTTGTAATCCGACATGGTCTATTATTTATTATTGAATATTTTTTTGACAATATACTACAGAGTGCATATACATACATACACATATATATATGTATATATATTGTTCCTTGTTTATCCGCGATCAGTATGTCTACTATAATCGGATTGGTTGGCAAATGGCAATGAGAGTCTGCAGTCCATTGAGTGCAAGACTTCTTATATAATGACGCTCTCCGGCATACATTCAGGAATTTAAATTATTATTATATAATAATAATTACTAGCCGTAACTCGTGACCACGGCTAGTGCAGGTTGCACTAAGTCGAAACGTCGAGAAAGGTAAATACCTTTATTTGCCATAAAATTATTCGTGTTAAGACCCGGTTAATAATTTAAATAATGTATATTAAACACGAAAGTTTAAAATTAACTAATACATTCAGGAATTAAGAGCTGGAGTTTTGCTTGTCTAAATCCAGTAGATATGTTCTTTTCAGGCATTTTGGGAGGTTGTCACTAACTGACAACCTCTGAGCTAGTTCATTGGGGTGGACACTCAGTCGAACCTTGTATTTTGAGCATGTGCTAACAAGCTCCTCTCGTACTGTGGGTAACTTCGAGTTGGTTATAAACCATGGTGCCCCAAGAATGGTCTTCAAGATAGCGTTCTGGGACCGTTGGAGAATCTCAATGTTAGAGGTACTAGCACTTCCCCACAGTTGAATGCTATAGGTTCAAATCGGTTTGATGACCATCTTATAAACAAGCAACTTGTTCTCTACTGAGAGGTTAGAGTTTCTACATACATACATATATAACATAGAATCTTATCACTGGATCTGTGATTTGTCGGATTACAAGGTACTCTTTTGTACAAAACTCCGGACTATAGGGGACCCTTAGGCAGCACTCTATAATCCGATAAATTCGATGGTCCGACACTGCTCCGCAAAACGTTTGTCGGATAACCAGGGGTCCACTGTACTCAAATTGTGTCACTGGCAATCTGGCAACACATTTCAAGTTAAATGATACATTGTACCATGTCAAGTTGACCTCCACGCGGTTCCCCCTGGACTTAAAGAATTACAATTTGCTTACCACCTAGTTTAACCCCGAGCCTTGTTCCAACTCCAGCATTTTTTAAGGATGAGATATGGCACAGTGATATTACTATTACTGCAGTATGATGCCTTAGTCCACAAGAAAATGGCACTGCATAAATAGCAAAAGGGTCGTATAACCATGTAACATTTGTGAAACTTTTCATGTAGGTGTTTCTTCTATTGGATGTAGTGTCAGGGTGTTTGTCAGTATCCGAGATGGAGTAATGAGAAGCATTGTCTACAGTCAATGTTATGGTGAACGCAACACTTGTCGTCCTGACATGTCAACAGTCAAATAGACAGATTTATAACAACAACTAGCTGTCCCGGCAAACGTTGTTTTGCCATATAAATTAAAAAATAGGGGTTGGTGATAGAAGGTTGAAAATTTAGGGTTGTATGTAATTTTGAATCCTAAATAATAATAATAAAATGAAAATATATTAGGTCGAAAAATAAAATATATATATGTAGGTGGTAAGGGATATTCCCCCCTTACCATTTACGAGGTATGAAAAATAGATAGTGGCCGATTCTCAGCTCTACTGAATATCATATAAAATTTCATAAAAATCGATCAAGCCGTTTGGGAGGAGTATGGTAATTAATATTGTGACACGAGAATTTTATATATAAGATAATAGATATTGGTGATTATGCCTTACTTGTGATGCAGCATTGCCAAAGAGTCCATAGGGTGGCGGCACGTCGTGGCCATCGGAGGCGAGGCGGCGCAATATCAGCTTGGCCACCTCCTGTTTGGCTTCCTTTTTGGACCGTGCAGTAGCTGTCATCACGCAGCCGAGCGCTTTACACCGGTACTCGAACATGATTTGATGCTGCGGCCCAGACTAGTCATAACATAAATATGCATCAATAATTCACAGCGCCATGGAGACTGTCATTATAACCACTGATCAGAGTATGTAGAGCAATTTGGATTATTAACCACAAACATTGATGTTGTTTAAAATCTACCCTGTACCCTTTGTAAGCACAGATTATTATATCAGAGCGTGTCCCTGCCCTCCTCTCGGCCCTTCTTGTGTCCACTAAACACAGTTGCCTATCATAGAATGGACCGTATCGGCTTTAAACGCGCGCACACATTTCCTATAATAAAATTAATTATAAACTGTGTGTGATACTTAGTGTGTGAACTGTGAAAGCCGGTGAAAATATCACCTGGATGTTGGTCCGTGTTAAGATGCCCAAGAAACCCTCAGGAGCATATAGCTACAAAGACAGATGTTTCCACAAAATAGTATTTTCCCTGACATTTTGGTAGCAGAGCGTAGTTTTTCCACTTATTCCCTAACAGATGTCAATATGGATTTAATCAATTCAAATTCAATAAGTAATTAATTGTTTAAATCTGTTGTTTGTTTTTTTCAATCATGTTTCGATATTTGAGGCACAAATAGTTTGTATAATTTAAATTATTGTGGATTATGGTATAAATACAAGAAATTGTTTCATTAAAATATATGTGGTTTAATGAATAAAGTTTCTATCTATTCATTATATATAGGAAGTATTGTTTTCTCTCTGTAAAAATAATAAGGCAATAATTATCCAAGGAAAAATCCAGGGCCGCCGAAGACCAGGCAGGCGCCGCACTTCATGGCTAAAGAATCTAAGGTGGTTTGGGGTTAGTACCAGATCCTTGATCAGAACAGCGGTGGACAAAATTAAAATCGCTAGGATGATCGCCAACCTCCGGTAGGAGACGGCACATAAAGAAGAAGATAGCAAGCAGAAGAAAGAAGCACAAAAATAATAAAAGCTATTAAATAGAATTATAATGTTTTTAAGAGTATTCGTAGAATGTTATAATGTGGTGATAACACTCATTAGTGTTAAATCTCACTATGTGCACTAAGGGCGCCTTCAAATTTACCGCAAATGCCGTGCGGTGGCTAATTTGCGATACACAAGCACTGAGCCGATATCTTACATCCTAATAGTAAGACAGTGGCAATAGTAAGTTGCAGTTAATTATCACCTGCGCTACACACTCATAGTCGGGCACCTCGTCCAGTTTCACCATCATTTCTTGCAGTACTGTCACAGCTGTTTTCATTCTGTAATAAAATACAATTTGCATACAGTGAAACTAAGAATTATTTGGAATTATTCATAGTATTTAGTGGCCTGCCCCATTTTCACCTGGGAACTCATAAGTTTGTAAGTTTTGTATTTATTAACATCATATATATCACCCTGATATATATGATGTTACTCTACACATATAAATAAATTTGGAGTGTCAGTTTGTAATATTGAAATAACTGTTTTTTACTACATGCATATGAATATAAGTATACATACACCAAAAGAACATATTTTACAATTTTTGTCTATTTGTGTTTCTGTCTGTTTGTTCCGACTAATCTCTGAAATGGCTGGACCGATTTTGACAGGACTCTTATTGGCAGGTTGTTGATGTAATAAGGAGTAACTTAGGCTACTTTTATTTTAGAAAAATAAATTTAAATTCCATTTGAACTAAGTCGCACATACAGCTAGTATATCAATAATATTAAACAGAGGCTTATAAAACAATAAAATATAATCTATTGATAGAATTGGATTGTAACAAAATTTTGTCATAAGTTTTTTAAAATTCTACTAATAATACTTAATATATATTTTATTTATTCTTCATACCTCCCTCTGTTATTCCCAAAATATTATTTTATTGCTAAATGGAATGAATGAAGGGAATGTCTACTATTTCCACCTCAACTCTAGTAACTGGTGACATTAGACTAATGCAGGAGAAGTCCCGAATATGTGTTCAAATAATAAACCTACTTTTGTATATTGATTTTATGAATTTTGATGAAGGCTTGATTTTCTTATTTACTTCATCGGTCGTCTAATGTTGCTTACATTAGATCAGATGAAATAGCGTAAGTTCCCACACCATCAGGGATATCTTTCGGGATATACTACTCATCACGACTATTGTTGATGGGAACATAGGTAACATAACATAGGTAAGTACATACCTCAAGAAATGTATCTGTTATCCTAAAATATGTAAAAACGCAATCTCTTGCTACTATAAAATCAATGAAAGGATGGAAACAATTGATATATTTACTTTACTCTTTGAATCATAGCTAAGAAAATAACAATCAAAACTTTGAATGAAAACAATTAAGTAAAAACCAAATGAAGCTTTAATTGACTCCAACGTGTGATACTGACAACCTTCTAACAACTGACACTGATTGACAAAAATAGATACCCCTGATAATTAACCTGTGGTCTTTAGAAATGGTTGACAAAAAGCATTGAATATGAACTTTACGACTTGAAGTTAAGATTTGTTTTATGTATTACATCAAGAATAAACGTATATAGTCGAATGAATACAAAAAGAGAGTACAGTAGAGTTTATGATCTGTGCACAGTATTTATTAATCTGTGATGTCTTCACGTTCTTTGTCGCAATTGCAAAATAGATTCGCTTAAAAACAATATTGCAATGTTTTTTATACTTTACTAAAAGAAATTGTTTTCAATCTAAATGTTGTGAATAAAATAACAATGTTATGATGTCTGTATTCTTCAGGAGAAACAAATACGATGTTTTCACGTGGATATCATACTGTTCTAGTGGAGAAAGTGACATGTGAAATAAGAAAATCACCTTCAATGATGTGGAAGAGGTCGATTGTGCAAGAAACGAATAGGTGCGCTCGCTCCGCAATGGCCCTGGCACTAGCATGTCTCGTTTTCGCTGTGAGTACCGTTTCGAATCTATTATCACCGTCAATGTTTCTACACTTGTTATAGACCATATTGATACCAAGGACTGCATACTCTGTTGTCAACAATGTTATTTGTACATTCAAGTCACGTCCTTTATGAAGTAGGTAGACACAGTACCAAAAATATCATTAGATTTTATTAGATTAGATAGCCTTGGTGCAACTTCCTTTAAAATATTATTAGTGATTGACATCACCAGTTGCTTTTACCTAGATTTTGTACAACAGATTCATAATAGTTGATATATTATGGTATACTGTACTTGTACACACTGAGTGTGTTAGTGAGTGATGTCATTTTGTTTTAGCATACATAAAGTATTTCAGGTATTAATATAAATATAATACATTGTAAATTTTGGGAAAAATCCTATCAGTTTTTGTGTCATATTATTTATTGTTTACCCATTCATAGATATTGGCCAATCACCTAAGGGCAGTATATTTATGGCTGTATTGCCCATTTGAAGTTTGGCTGTGTATTGTAATTCAGTTAGTCACACTAAAACAATGAAGCACAAATACCTATTCAGTCATCTACAAGGTACTCAAACACTTGGAATACTAATGTTTAGCAATATTCTAAACAGTTGAATGGTCTTATATGTATGTGTATATGTAGGGTTGCCAACCATACTTTATAATAACATATACTACTTTATTTTTCGTATTACACTTTATACTCTTACATATAAGTAAAATATGCAAAAATACTTTATTTTCAATCTTTACTGCGATGCGTAAAACAAAGTACTCACTATGGACGAAATTGTATAAAAATGTACTACTGGTTTTGTTTATAATTGAAGATTAAAAACAAATTGTTTATTTATTTATATGGAAATGTAGATTGTCAAACAAGCTTTGCAAGATTTAAAGATAACAAAAAATTATTAGCATGTGCTAAGAGCACACAAAATATATATTTAAAGCAATAAAAATATAAAACTTAAAAATTTTTTTTTTTTCTTATTAAAGTTGGCAACCCTATGTATATGTATTATTGGTATTTATTTGTAAGATGACAGCTAAAGTGTTAATTTCAGATGATTAATAAAGTATTATTTTCTATAATTTTTCATTATAGAATTGGTCATAGAATGTAAGTTATTTGTTGTTATGTTGTACACAACAAAGCAATATTTATTACACTACTTAATTATTATCTAACAACCAATTATTTATTATTTACCTTGTCTTTATATTTATATATACTTATATAATAAAATTGTGATGAAAAACTGTCTGTATGTCGAGTTTCACATAAATACAGTAATGAAATTTTGATAGAATAAATTGATATATTTGGCTAAATATTTAATGTACTAATAGAGTAATGGATGGTATTGCATACATCTTATGTAGTTTCATTTAAAATAATAACAAATTACCAGTATATAAAAAAAATATTAAAAAAATGTAAAATATTTATACATAATATAAAAAAAAACTATTAATAAAAAAATCTTATTATAATGTCAGTAAATACATGACAGATATTATTTATTATTTAGAATTATTTATTATTTAGACTTAATGAGTATATATACACATAGGTCAGAAAAATAATGTACAAAATAATCAAAAACTGTTAAAGCTTATTGTAGCTTGCTGCGCCCATCAGGGCCCATATCATCATCTGCTTCTTCCTTATCCCATTTAATTGGGGTCGGCATAATATGTTTTTCTCTTCCATTCATCCCTGTTTGCAGGGTCAGGGTCCATAGTGCTCTTATAATAATATTATGTCAACCATTATTGTAACACTATGGAATGTAAATAAATAAATAAATATAATATGTTATCTACAAGTGTACATGTGCATAATGTTGACAGCAGAACTGGTTCAATATATAAAACAGTTTTATTGACACACTGGCAGATTGTTAAGTCTAATGTTAGCTGAAGTGCTTCTTCTGTTTAATATCCAGCGCATTCTATGTACATTCACTTAGTGCACTTGAATAGAACATTTAAATGTGACCTTACTTTAAAATTGAATCATCACTAACACTCATCTCTAGGTCTATTTTATTTGTAGTATAGAATAGAAAATCATTTATTAAAATAAACTTAATTTAAGCACTTTTGAATAGTCATAACAATTTTTTTTAATCTACTACTCATTCGGAAAGATGTCTCATCACAAGAAGAATGACTAAGAAACTTGTAGATCTACTATAATATATAAATTTGATCACAGATTTTAGAATAACATTTTTTCTATGACTATGCATAGTCTAAAACAAAAACACTTGGAAGTTTTGTGTCCTGTTCATTAATTATTAATTTTGATTAGGCCTTTTAATCTCCTCTTTTGCATGCTAATGTAGATAAGATCAAACTCACTTCCATCATTAACCATTAACACAAAATAAATAAATAAATCACAGGAGCAGGAGGTCAGGTCAGTTAGCCTTTGATGACAAATTCACCAGCAATTTATCATGATGGTTTCCTGGGGAAGTTGTGTGAAGATCAATCTGCCATAGTGTGTTGCTAGCAATCATGTTATCAGTCCACATTACTAACAATCACCTATAATGGACTGGTGCTGCAATGGATTGGTGGACTGTATGTCTAAATGATGAAAACATGTAGTTTGTGATGTAATATATTAGAATATAGTTGCGTACTATCTAAAGAACAATGGGTGAATAAGTAAGTGAAGCATATCAAGTAACATGACATAAAAAAGGACTGTTCAATATAGAAATTTAAAAATAATAATAATATCAAAGGAGTTCGGCAGTCGGTGGCCAACAGGTGCATCTGCCCGTTCAAATGGTACATCGGTAGTTGATAATAGAATTGGGTTGAAGTCACCTCATCATGTTGAATTAATCGCAGGGAGAGTTCACATGTGGAGGTCAATCTGTCTCGCTACATTGCTACCCATGGGGTCATTATTACTAAAAATCCCTTCCCTCGAGCAGGGCACGTGGCAGGGCGGGCGCGGAGCTGACCTGGTGATCGAGATCCCCGGCGCGGGCGCGGGCGCGGGCGGCGGCGCGGAGCCCGAGGCGGAGGCGGAGGCCGGCGGCCGGTACCGGCTGGACTACCGCCCGCCGCACGGCTCGCCCGCGCCCAACTACACCGTGCCCGCGCGCGCCTCCACCATCAACTTCCAGGGGCTGCCCGGCACCAAGTACCATTTCATGCTCTACTACTCCAACGCTACCTTTGCCGATCTCTTGACGTGGAATCAGACCATTATTACAGGTAAATTCATCACTCTACCGATGGTACACACCTGATGTTTGTAAGTAACATAACTCATTAGTTTCGTTAGAGGAAATAATAAATGTAATGACTAATAATGGATTAAGCAAACAAAATACTTCATATAAGCGCAAAAGAAGGAAAGCTCGAAGTAAAACTATATGTGTTGATAATAGTAGCGTGTTTTATGACTATTATAATTCACTATGTGAACGATATGCTTTTGAATTATAAAGATATACATTATGCACGAAGATTGATACTGGAAAATTACATTAACTAATAGTGAATAAAGTATGCAATTAGATCTACTGACCTTTACAGCATCTCCTCAGTCTTCGCCCCTTGGTAGGATCTTTAACGTAAGCACATTCAGATAAGTGTAACAAATGAATGTTTATTTTTTATCTTTGCGTCACTTGTTTTAGTATAAACTAGCTACCCATCCCACATACATGTATTAATCTGTATTTATATATATAAACCTTCCTCTTGAATCACTCTATCTATTAAAAAAACCGCTTCAAAATCCGTTGCGTAGTTTTAAAGGTTTAAGCATACATAGGGACAGACAGACAGCGACACCGACTTCGTTTTATAGTATGTAATTATTCACAAGATAATTATCACTATTGAATTATTTAATATAACTGTATTAATCACTTGTAATGAATTTAGTTTAGCCGAGCGATGCAATGTTGCCATTTCTATCTGACCTACTAGGAGGGAGTAGTTGTTAGTTCATATATTTCGCAATAGATGGCGCTTTCTCACGATGTAGCAGTGGAGGCACTACAGTAATTTTAGAATTTTGTACAAACGCGGCTGAACAATGATTTTTGAAGTCTTTGGAATCTATTTTGTAAATTCCGTTCTTGTTTTATATTACGCTAGTGGCAATCAAGCATACAGCCTATCTGATGGTAAATGGTTACCGTAGCCTAATTGTAATATCATTCAACTTACATTTGAATTACCAGTACTATTGATCATACCAGTTGAGTTTCTTGCCAATTCTTGTCAACTATAGTAATAATAATAATAATCATTTATTCAGCATCATAATCATTCATTGCCTTGCCTTTATCCCATTATTTGTGGTCGTCGCAGTATGTCATTCTCTACCACTGATCTCCGTCATATATGATAACCGTCATATCTGAGCATACTCTCCTTTTATTAATATCATCTTTCACACAATCCATCTATCTTTTTTAGGGCGTCCTCTCCCTTTACATCCATCCACATTCATATTATACAGTTTCCTTAAGACTTGATCCTCGTTCCTCCGGATAACATCATCCTCAGCATCGTAATACAGAGTAAAAGAGAAAACTTTAAAACGAATATTTCGCTATGAGCTGAAAGGGCCTCCACTCAGCTGGTGCCGCAGCGTGCCGTATTTGTAGTAGCTAGCTGAACAGTAGGGATACTGATAAATAATTTTGATCTTTATGAGTAAATAATTACGACTTTGATTGTATCACCAGCGCCTGAGCCACCAACAAACCTAACAGTGACGCTGGGTCGAAACAAGCAAGCGACGATAGCGTGGTCGCCGCCCGTCCATGGTGACTACACAGGGTTTAGATTTAAGGTAAGTTTATTATATTAGTTATTGCCGCGTATCATAGATCTAAGATCAAGTGCAATCTGTGATGCAATATTAGGTCCACAAGCGATTGAGAACATTCTCTGATATATATCCGAATCGACCTGCGACCATTGGAAGTAAAACGGTGTACTATACTGTAATGCTACGTTTACACTCAGCTGAGTGGGCAGGGAAGTGAGCAGCGCGAGAGTGTAAACACCATACTTCCCACGCCAATGGAGCTGTCACTCGCGCTGCCCGGCTGGCTCCCTTGAATGTCAGTTTTTCGTGCGCGAGTCAAAGGACTGGCAGTGCGAGTGGCAGCGTGTGTTTACATTCAGCCCTCTCGCTCAGTTGTCGCTCGGAAATATTTCTGGCAGCGCGAGTGGCAGGGGAAGCAGCTGAATGTAAACGTAGTATTAGACTAGCGATGCCGTGTATTTCCTGGTAGCGTTGCAGCATGAAAGCGATGTATAGTGAGCGATGTTGCTGTTTATGTAGATTTTTTATAGATGATAAAAGAATGATGCAACCGCCTGCGTTTACGGTTAAGCTGGCGGGGCACCAGTGGAAGATGATACGATGAACATGTGGTCATCAGTCCACATTACTAACAAACCCCTTTCGGACCCTACCTACGACCATTGGAAGTAACGACCTCGCTAGTCTAGAGGTGTAGGACACCCTAGACTAGCGAGGTCGTTACTTATACGTATATATCCTGGTGTATGAGGTAATCAGCTCGGATGAGTAACGGGCGGTGCGTGCAGGTGATCCCGCTGTCGGAGCGCGCGGAGGGGGGCGCGCAGAACATCAGCGTGGAGGGAGCCGGCAACTGGACGCACACGCTGGCGGAGCTGGCGCCCGGCGCCACCTACCAGCTGCACGCCTTCACGCTGCTGCACGACAAGGAGAGCGCAGCCTACGCTTCCAGGAACTTCACCACCAGTGAGTAGCCACCGCCAGCCACATCACCGCCATACATACTACGAGCATTCCTTGTCTTTATTACAAAGTAGCGTAAAGTCTGAATTAACATTTCATTCTTTATTTAATACTAGCTGTGCCCGCGACTTTGTCCGTTTAGTGACCTCGACCAAACAAAGAATAAATATTAAATAAGCTAACCCAAAAAATGCAAAAAAATTAACGATTTTCCATACAAACTTTAATCCCCTTTAGGAATAGAATAGAAAATCATTTATTCAAATAAACTTAATTTAATCACTTTTGAATAGTCATAACATAATAGGTTAAATTTTTTACCTCCTTAAGGGTAACATTTTTACAAACTTTTGTATTTAATGAACAGCCTCAAATATAAGTTTCAAGCTTCTACCTTCAAAAATGACGATTCTTCCATACAACTTACATCTATGGTATGGTGAGGAGGACTTTGAGGACAAAGTCTGTATTCTTGTGTGAATATACAATAAATATTTTTAAACTTTCTGTTTAATACACATTATTTATATTGTTAACATGGTTTTAACACGAAGAAATTCAATGTTTTTGTAGAGAAATTCTAATTTAAATTCATAGCGCTGACAATATTATTTGATTGTGGGTAACGATTTCTATGTTGTGTCTATTGTCTCATGACTATTCCTTGTTAATGTGTATTTACCTAGAACAACATTTATTTAAAAGAGCAACACGCAAGATTCTTGCTCGTTCTTCTTGTGATGAGCCTTCATTCCGAATACGTGGTAGATAAAAAAAAGTAACTTTTCAAAAGTTATATTACGTTAAGTATCAAGATTTAGACACGTCTAAAATAGAAATTCAAGTAACTTTCTATTTTAGACGTGTCTAAACTATACGTAGTCATGTTGACAATATATATAAATCATACAATATGTATCTTTATACACGTGGCAATTTTTTAAATATTTTCTAAAGTACTTGTTTGTTGTCTATACTGATCATTTTCCATTTCCCTGGCATACTCAAGAGTGGACATAAAAGGTGAGTCTACTTTCGGTCAGGTGCGGCGGATGGTCACCATCGCCATGCAACCGCTGGTGAGCGTCCGTTGCACATTGTCTGTACATATCAACTTTTAGGCTATGTTTAATAATAATTGTTAATACCAATTTGAATTATTAAGTTAGGCTTTGATCCAATTACCCGGGGTGGCTGCCCCCGGAGTAGACTGCGGGTTCGCCCCAAGGCCCCAACCTATGGTACTTACAACAAAAAATAATTTTGAGCTAGAACAATTTTGACGGGATCTTCAATATCAGGTAGCTAATTACAAGGCTACATTTATTTTTAAATTTTAGTTATATTTATTATAATGAATGAAATGACCCTTCCTTTCCTCTGGTAATCGTTTAATATTTTTATAGTTTACTAGCTGTACCCGCGACTGCAACTGCGAATTTAACTTTATTTTTCTAGAACAAAAGTAACCTAAGTTACTTCTTATTACATCAGCTACCTGCAAAAAGTCCCATCAAAATCGGTCCAGCTATTTCAGAGATTAGCCGGAACTAACAGACAGATAGACAGATTTTTTTTTAAAAAATGTTATTTTTGGTGTATGTACCGTATGTATATTTATATGCATGTAGTAAAAAACGGTTATTTCAATATTACAAACAGACACTCCAATTTTATTTATATGTATAGATACTTTTATTACAGTAGTACAAACTATGATATTGCGTTTATTTGTGTATCGAAGTGACTCCGTGTGTTGCCAACATCACATTGTTAATTTTATTTGTCGTCAATAGATGGCGCGGACAAATAAAAAGTTAAATTCCACGCGAACGTAGTCTCTGGTAATAGATAGTGATGTTTTAAAAATAAATATATGTTATTGAATGCTTCCGGTCTGCTCCGATTTTCGGTACCTCGGTTCAGTTATTCAGAACAATGCCGACATAGACCACGATGTAAGAACAGAATTAGTGCGGGATGGATGAAATGGCGACAGGTCTCGGGAATTATATGCGACCTCCGAATGCCCTTGAAACTAAAGGGTAAAATTTAGAAATCTATCATCAGACCTGTCATTTTGTATGGATCTGAATGTTGGGCCGTAAAGGGGATGGACGAAAGGCGTGTGCATGTGGCAGAAATGCGAATGTTAAGATGGATGTGTGGGGTCACCAGGAGTGACAGAATAAGGAATGTGTATATACGAGGAAGTTTGAAAGTTGCACCGGTTATAGAAAAGTTGCGAGGTAACAGATTGAGCTGGTATGGCATGTTATGCGGAGGAACGAGGATCATGTCTTATGGAAAGTGTATAATATGAATGTGGATGGATGTAAAGGGAGGGGACGCCCTAAGAAAAGATGGATGGATTGTGTGAAAGATGATATGAATAAAAGAAGAGTATGTTCAGATATGACGACCGATAGAGAGCAGTGGAAGATAATGACAACTGCGCCGACCACAAATAATGGGATAAAGACAAGGCAATGATGATGTTATTGAATCTTCAAGTAAGGACTTACTACTACTACTACTACTACATACTTATCTGTAATTTATAATTAATTGTTGTATATTCTACCGCAATTGGTCTTGTCTCACCAGTATAAGGAAAACTATTTTAAAATATTTATATATTATATTTTAATATTATTTTTCTTCTTCATACCATGATTATTTGTAAGACATTCCGGCCTGTTCGATAGTTGAAATATTGTTTCAGTAAATTTCATCGGATGAGTGGAATGAAGTACCTGCCGAGGTTTTGTCGAGAGACTACAGCATGGGGTTATTCAAGAAGGGTATATTAAGGTTTCTTAAGGGTCGGCAACGCGTATGTGACACCTCTGGTGTTTCAAGCGTCCATAGGCTACGGTAACCGGTTACCATCAGATAGGCCGTATGCATGTTTGCCACCTAAGTGGTATAAAAGAAATAAACCTTAAAGTTATTATCTTAAAGTTATATCTCTCAGGACAATTCACACAGCGCCATCTAGTCCCAAGCTAAGCAGAGCTTGTGTTACGGGTACTAGACAACTGATATAAATACATGGATACATTTTTTTTGTAAATAAATACATATTATACATAGAAAACACCCAGACCGATACAAACAATCATACTCATGAATACAAATGTTTGTACCGTGCGAGGAATCGAACCCACGACCATCGGATAGTAAAGCAGTGTTCTAAACCACTAGACCACCGAGGTTGAGATATGTTGATACGACATTGACCACAATGAAGGAGATGTTTTACATATTTATTATTTTTACATATATTTATTGTTTTATATATTTATTATATTATATATAAGGACTCGCGATAATTAATGTAGATAGTGACATTAATAATCCATTACTAACAATTATAAATTACAGATATCATATTGTTATTTTACTTACTATGACTATAATAATAAATTGAAATTAAATTAATATTATATTTGTATTAAATTAATATTATATTCTCCCAAATTTGAATTTAAATGCATCTATATTATTGTAAACATGTACAACATTTATTTGAAAAGAATATGAGCTGAGTTTCTCATCAGTTCTCATATCGAAATCATTCCGAACTGACGATATATTTTTTTATTAAAATTTACTAAGCTATAATCTTTTTTTTTCTAAAATGTATTAAAAAAAATTATAGTAATACAAAAAAACTTGACGTTTATAAGTGTCTAAAGTGAATAAATATTTTTATATGATTTGATTGCTATTATTTGCAAATTTGTTCACTTCAGTAGTAATAAAATCTATGTAAATGGTAAAAGAATAAGCCGGCGCGTTTGTCATGTTATTCATGATGATGATTTTTAATGAATATTGAGGGCTGACTGAAACTAGCGTATTATAGGTGCGCCTCATTGAGCTTGTGCTTATATCAGCCACAGCTGTAGGCTGCTGGGGCAGCTACTATTGACAACATTGTATGTTTTTTTTCTTGTTTTTGTGTACACAAAAATTTAATCTGTTAATGTTGTTAAATAAAACTTATATATCTATATATTACAACTAGCAGACCCGGCCACGTGTTGCTATAACTAAGGTTCTTGAATAAAATAATATTGCTACTATAAATTGAGATAGCTTACATCTCAACTTATAGTCGCAATATTTCTATCCGACCTTTCAAATTGCACACAATGTGCAAATCAAATTTGCAATCGATTCAGTAGTTTAGGAGTCCATCGCGGACAAACAACGTGACACGTAATTGTTATACATAAAGATTACAATAACTTTGTAAGCAAAACTACATATAAATAGGCGGCTTTATTATAAAAATAGTTTCGCAATAGGTTCATGATACATTTTGTGTGTCCCCCAGGACCGAACACGCCGGGCAAATTCATAGTGTGGTTCCGCAACGAGACCACGCTGCTGGTGCTGTGGCAGCCGCCCTACCCGCCCGGAGCCTACACCCACTACAAGGTACCCATACAGACTGATGCCTATAGCACACGTGTAACATCTAGTTTAAGATATCAGGATCCTTATTTTGTATTGCGCAACTTTCTGCCATTAATGTCTATCTGTGGGACACAGTTACCTAGAAATAATAATTGCTTTTAATAATGTCTAGTAAGACACATCCAATATTGTTTACTAAGCACTGCTGTGTCTAAACTGTGTCACCCCACCTTCCACTTTCATGGGTGATCTTAGGCTTGGGGAACAGTTGAATGCTACTTATTCGTCTATGACCTATGGTGTTGATTATGTGGGACCAGTGTTAACATTGAATCGTAAAGGAATGGGCGCTAAATCCGTTAAGTCAATAAATATAAAAACAAATGTTTTCGTGCATGTTTCATGACACGCACAGCACATTTGAAACTTGAAATGGATCTATCCACTGAAGCATACATTATCGTTTTGAAACAATCTGTTTTGCATCATGATAGACCGCCTAAATTCAATTGTCACAGATGCTACAAACGAATTTCCAAATTATTATCTAATTGTTGCAATAAACGCTTCATGAGAAGAGGTCACAGTTTCATTTAAAAACACTTACTTATCAAAAAACAAATTAACATAATTTCTTGGTTATTTAGTATATAAGATCAATATTTATATGTACATATTGTCAGTCAATTACCATCTGTAATATACAACGTTTCGACCAACAACATCGTATCAGATACACGCAACAGTTCCCAAATAGTTTTTGCTGCGTACCACTTCAAAAAAGACCTCAAATCTTGCGTACCCCTTATTGTAGCAATCACACTAATATTATAAATGAGAAAGTTTGTGAGTGTGCGTGTATGTTTGTTTTACTGATAGCCGCACGTACCCCTGGAGGTAATGATGCAACTTCACGTACCCCTGGGGGTACGCGTACCACTAATTGGGAAACACCGATCTAGTTGACTAACTTCAACTATTATGTACTCTCCTTTTTAATTTTGTAATTGTGGTTGTAGAAATATAACATAATTATTATTATTATAGAGACTCCACTCTCGAGCACCGAGGCCAAGGCTAATCCCCTAGCAGTGCCCCACACACGGGGGCAGACCCATCTAGTTGTTAGGGCACCATAATGTTGTATTATTAAACTATTAAATATAATAGTTGTATATGTCACGTAACACTTATAACTTCCTTAGCTTTTTTAAAATAAATCTAAATATATATAACTCAAAGGTGACTGACTGACATAGTGATCTATCAACGCACAGCCCAAACCACTGAACGTATCGGGCTGAAATTTGGCATGCAGGTTGATGTTATGACGTAGGCATCCGCTAAGAAAGGATTTTGATTAATTCTACCCCCAAGGAAATAAAATATTTTATTAACATTCAGCTAGATATTATGACGTATCTGCTAAGAAAGGATTTTGATAAATTCCACACCTATATATAAATTAAAGGGATAAATTAACGCGAAGCCGCAGGCAAAAGCTAGTGACAGATAAAACTCTTCTCCAGAGAAACTATCTTGTTTCGATCCTTACAGTCTTTTCGTCTTCAAGTAATGAATACACACACTGAAATTTTCGCAATTAAATATTTATTACAGATTTATGTATATTTGTTGTATGTATAGTATAAATAAATATTTAAAGTATCATTATATGTTTCTATAATATGTTTCTATTCTTAATTTACGATTAAATATGTAGGTATTTTATTGTCGACGCCCCCACTACATATAAAGTGAATCATTCTAATATATATATGGAATTAATGATATATAATAACCGCATGTCAGAATGTAGAGAATGTATAAACAATTAATTTACAATAACAGTTAATTTAAACAAAAATGGTCGCGTATTTTGTTACTGTGATTACACTGCTCGGGATCTCCTTGTTGGCAACTATTTGGGTTAGATTCCAAATATTTACTACTAGCTGTTCCCGTGACTTCGTCCGTGTGGAATTTAACTTTATTTTTTTTAATTAATAGTATCCTAAGTTACTCTTTATATACATCAGCTACCTGTCAATAAAAGTCCCGTCAAAATCGGTCCAGCCATTTCAGAAATTAGCCGGAACTAACAGACAGACAGACACAAAAATTCTAAAAAGTGGTTTTTGGTATATGTACCGTATTTATATATTCATATGTATGTAGTAAAAACGGTTATTTATATTTAATATTACAAAAAGACACTCCAATTTTATTTATATGTATAAATGTCAATTATTTGTATTTATATTAGTTTCCGATGTTATACGTGGATATAAGGAGGCGCTGGGGCAGCTTCGATCGGATAAGCTTCCCGGGCCGAGTGGCGGTCGTGTGTCCCTAACATAAGATAATCCGAGCTTCCTTCACGAAAGTATGAACTGGTGCACTTGAGAGGAGGGGTCTCAAGTACGCCAGTTCATATTGCCGTGTGATAACGTGTACATATCGGCGGGCAGGTGTCGATCGTGCCGCCGGACGCGCAGGAGTCGGAGCAGTACGTGGAGAAGGAGGGCGAGCCCCCCGGGCCCGCGCAGGCCGCCTTCAAGGGGCTCGTGCCGGGCCGGCCCTACAACATCTCCGTGCAGACCGTCTCCGAGCAGGAGATCTCCGCGCCCACCACCGCGCAGTACCGCACCGTGCCCCTCAGGCCCCGCAACGTCACCGTCCGCGCCCGGGAGACCGCCGCCACCGTGCGCTGGCTGCCCCCGGCCGACGACAGGTGCCCCCACCTACCCTACTACCCCGACACTCTTCATTCTTTTCTACCTACTGACACCGTTGCAGTAAAGTGATTCTACGCACGATGGAGGATCGCCGTTCATCTAGATGATCGTGATGATATTTTAGTTTCTGGAAGATAATGTGATATTGTGTCTACAAATGAAATCTACTCCGACTGACAAATTAGAGTGGATTCAATATACATTACAATATTTTATTGTTTCCCCGGTTGCAGTGAATTCGAGCGGTACCAGATCTCGGTGTCGGCGGCGGCGGGGGCGGGCCCCGGGGGCCCGGGTGGGGGCGGTGGGGGCGGGGGCGGGGGGCGGCGCCCCGCCCCGCAGCTGCGTCCCCGCGGGGATCCCCCCGAGTGCTCGTTCGAGGGTCTGGAGCCGGGCGCGCACTACACGGCCGTCGTCAAGACCATGTCCGGGAAGGTCACCTCCTGGCCAGCCACCGTCGACTTCACGCTCAGTCAGTACCCGCTCCTTACTCACTAACGCTCTCTAGCTCGCACCACCTTTAACTTTTGTTTACCATCTTGAGAACTAGTGACGCAAATAGTTGGGAATAAGAGGAAAATATGGATGTATATATATATATATATAAGGAAATTGCTATGTAATTTTACAACAACGGAGTTAGAGTTGTAAGTTTAGACATGTCCTCTATTTATCTTATTAGTGTTGTATTTGTTATGTCCAATGAATAATCCGAACACCATATATATTGTCACTCTTATCGATTTCCAGTCATAAACCCTGTAGCGACTAGCTACTATGACCAATTTCCCCCTGATTGAAAACTTGTATAATGGTTAAACTACTTGTATTAAAAAAAATATTATTTTTAATAAATATAGACTGTACATCTTTAAAGTTCATTACAATTTTTATTAAGGGTATAAATTTATAAAACAAATTATTAAATAGGTTTCTTAAATTGTGACTGATATGAACTTTATAGTAAAAATGCGCAAAGTAAATTTTTAGAATACAAACAAAATATAAAGTTCACGAGGGTCCTGCTCCTCAACTCACCCTTGAAACCTTACATCTTTAAAGTTCATTACAATTTTTATTAAGGGTATAAATTTATAAAACAAATTATTAAATAGGTTTCTTAAATTGTGACTGATATGAACTTTATAGTAAAAATGCGCAAAGTAAATTTTTAGAATACAAACAAAGTATAAAATTCACGAGGGTCCTGCTCCTCAACTCACCCTTGAAACCGCGGTTGGCTTTTATTAAGCTTCTTAATACAATTATCTTAATCATTTTAGAAGTTTTCGCCCGAGAGAAAATGATTGATGAAATTAGGCATGACATATTTATTTTCTTATACGGGATCACTTGTATTGCCATTCAAGTGACATTTGTATTCATGAGTATGATTGTTTGTCTCGGTCTGGGTGTTTTCCATGAATATTATGTACGTATTTATAAAAAAATATATCTAAGTATTTATATCAGTTGTCTAGTACTTATAACATAAGATCTGCTTACCGTGATACTAGATGGCGCTGTGTTAATTGTCAAAAAGTAAATAGATAAGCTCGTAGGACATTTGGATATAATAGTATAAAGCACTAGCTGTCCCGGCAAACGTTGTTTTGCCATATAAATTAAGAACGCTATAAAAAATAGGGGTTGGTGATAGAAGGGTGAAAATTTAGGGTTGTATGTATTTTTTAATGACACAATAAAAAAATATAAATTTAAAAAATAGACACAAAAAATAAAAAATAAATGTTACGGGTGGACAACCCTTATCACTTAGGGGTATGAAAAATAGATAGTAGCCGATTCTCAGACCTGCTGAATATGCATATAAAATTTCATAAAAATCGATCAAACTGTTTGGGAGGAGTATGGTAACTAACATTGTGACACGAGAATTTTATATATAAGACTAGCTGTCCCGGCAAACGTTGTTTTGCCATATAAATTAATAACGCTATAAAAAAATAGGGGTTGATGATAGAAGGGTGAAAATTTAGGATTGTATGTATTTTTGTATGTTGTATCATAAAAAAGAAACTAAAAATTTTGTCTAAAATATAAAAAAAAAATTTAGAGGTGGACTACACATCTATTTTTCATCCCCCTAAATGTCCCTAACATTTAGATGTTGGCCGATTCTCAGACCTACTCAATACGCTCACAAAATTTCATGAGAATCGCCGTTTCGGAGGAGTATGGGAACGAAAACTGTGACACGAGAATTTTATATATAAGATGTAGGTACAAACAAAGTAATATTTAAAAACAATTAATAATTATAGATTTAGTCGAATGGATCTTACATATGTGATACATGTTTGTCGCACGGTCAATTTGATACCGTTTTACAAGTACTGTAATATGATGTGTGTGGTGTGCAGAACCGCTCCCGGTGCGAGATCTAGCGGCCGAGCACGTGGGGGATACAGTGCGGCTGAAGTGGACGCCCGCACCCGGCAGCGTACAGGACGAGTACAAGGTTCGTGTCCCGCCGTGACATATGTCTACTGGGGACCCCGCACTAGGGGAGACACCGCCATAGGCCACTCACTACGCCAGTTTCGAGGCGTTCGGGTTCCCACCTTCATGAAGGAGGACTTATGGGCGAAGGGAGTGGTGTATCGGCTCCACCGTGGCAAATTACCGTCCTCAGTGCCATGGCCACACAGACAATTTTATATTACTACTAGCTGTTAGCTACCCGCGACTTCGTCCGCGTGGAATTTTATTTTATTTTTCTAATATAAAAGTAGCCTAAGTTACTCTTTATTACATCAGCTACCTGTCAAAAAAAAGTCCCGTCAAAATCGGTCCAGCCATTTCAGAGATTAGCCGGAACAAACAAACAGACAGACAAAATTTAAAAAAAAAATGTTATATTGGTGTCTGTGCCGTATTCATATTCATAGGCATGTATTATAAATGGTTATTTCAATATTATAAACAGACATTCCAATTTTATTTATATGTATAGATTATAATATTAATTGATATATATGTTAGTTTATAAATGTTCATAATATGGGCTATTAGTAGCCTAAAATAAATACATACCTTCTGGGTATTGGCCTAATCTGTGAGGAACGCTCACTGAAACGCACGCATTCTCTTGCCCCCTACAAATTATTATTCTGCTCCTTGTCCTCTCTGCTCGCTGTCTCCCCAATCTGGGGTGGTAGAAGAAACATAACGGCTTCGATGCCGGACGACAGTCCGTCTTCTTCGGCGTCTCTTTTTGAATGCATGCTAGAGCAGTTTCCCCGGCGCCGTCTGGCATGACGTCTCCTCTTGAACTCATGTATGACGATCCCTGCTCACTCCTCCACATATTATTCCAACTCCTTCACTGTCCGAGCTATTCGCCTCTGGAACTCTATCACTCTCCATTCGATCAGCTCAAACATAAGCATCATTTAAAAATAGACTAAGATCTCATTATTTCTCTTCATAGTACACGTTTTTATTTGTTTTTTCTTATTTCCAATATGTAGTATATATGTATGTATGTACGTCCCCACCGGGGCCCCAGGGCCCCCGGCGCTGCCGACACAGAAATCTGGTACCGCTCGATTTCGTTGCAATATGTAGGTTTATATATTTATCCCTAATGTATGTATGTATGTTTAGTAGTATAGTAAATAGTGTCTTATGTGGATGTTAAGGAGCTCCGTATCCGTAACTGAATCCGAAATAAAAGTTTCGGACAATATCGGATAGGGGTGGAGCCTAATTGAGAAATGTTATGTAACTATTTTATTAGCTATCTGTATTTTGAAATTCCTTAAAAAAATAATATCTTTAACCGAAATTATCCGAAATCAACGGATAATCCGAAATAATTTCATATCCGCATCCGTATCCGGTATAATAATCATTCCTACATCCGAAACCTATCCGTATCCGAAATTACATATCCATAACATCTCTGGTCTTATGTGTGCCACCTACCTATTCTATGTACAGAAGTCCACTCTTCTAGGTCGTCTGTAAGATCGCTTTCAGCGATAAGAGCGCCTTTTGTAATGAGTGTATTTTGTTAGTGTTTCACCTGTGTAGATAATAAAGAGTTGTGAACTGTGGTCCGCGCAGGTGTCGTACCAGGAGGCGGGCCCGGCGCGGGACGACAGCAGCTCGCTGACCACGCCCGCCCACACCCACACCCTCGAGGCGCTGCTGCCCGGCCGGAACTACACCATCACGGTCAGACGCTCTACGAAATATACTACCGCATCACCCAGTGACTCGTTTTAAGACTTAAGTTTCAATTGATGAGATATGCCAGTGAAGTTACCGGGTACGGTGGCGCGAGATCTTAATCCTTCTGAATAGTAATATCCGAGTGATATGACGAACGTCACGTAATGACGTGACTGTAAAGTAGCGAAAGGCGACGACTAGTTTACCATCAAATATAAGGAATAGTAGATTCAGCGAACGTATTTCACCAAATACTGTTTTATTATATTAACTATGTACCCTATATAACGAGATGACTGCGAACAGAGATGAATGGAAGAGAAAAACATATTCCGCCGACCACAAATAAATGAGATAACGTAAAAACAGATGATGATGTACCCTATATAAATAGGTTAATTTTCACTGGTTTTTCTTCTCCATAGATAACTTTCAAAAAAGTTATACAATGTCACAAGTTTATTTACATAATTAAGGTTAAAGTGAATTATGTTTTTGTATCTGCGCAGTGAATAACTTTGACGCGTCGTTATCTAGTAATAATTTTCTACTGCACACAACTAAACAAACTCACGAACTGATCACGGCTAGTGCAACCTAGTTGAAACATTGAGAGAGGTAAAGATTTTTATTTAATTTAAAATTATTCATTTCACGACATACCTATTAATGTAAATAATGTGTGTTAATCACGAAAAGTTTGAAAATGTTAATTATTCAATTTAAATATTCTATGAGTTTGCATCGTACATTAATATTTCGTAACGTTAACATTTTATTTTACATTTCACATTTCATTTAAAATCAGTTCGCATTCGGTCATCAAGGACGCCGCGCGTGCTCATTATAATTATGAATCAGTTATATTTTAAGTTTCAATATACAGTTTTAATCAAGTTTGTATCAGTATCATTTATCAGTTTTACCTATCAGAATGTGTATAGTTTCGGTACAACCCGAACAAATATATAATACTGGGTGAAACTCTCTCGGGCACATACAGTACGTCGTACTGCTCCATACTCATTACAAATCGATTAGGGTCCATTAGCACGTAGGAGAGGGTCCACATCTCTTCTTTAAATATATATACACATAATAAATGTATGTCGTATGCTTTCCGACATGTCAGTCCATGAGTGCATTATTTTTCGCACTGTACCACGACAATGGTCGCGGTGGAGTGGTGAGGTGTGGCGTGCGGTGCAGGTGGCGGCGGTGTCGCGCGGCGCGGAGTCCAACGAGAGCTGGGTGAGCGTGGCCACCCGGCCCCTGGCGCCCGTGCTGCTGGCCGCCACGCCGCTCGCACGGGCCCTCACCCTCGCCTGGCACTCCGACGTCAACTCGCGCCAGGAGAGGTACCTGCTGCGGTACCGGCGCCGCCGCCCGCCGCCCGCCGACGACTACCTCACGGTACGCACCACGCACACTCTCACATCACTCGCCTGCCACTCCGACGTCAACTCGCGCCAGGAGAGGTACCTGCTGCGGTACCGGCGCCGCCGCCCGCCGCCCGCCGACGACTACCTCACGGTACGCACCACGCACACTCTCACATCACTCGCCTGCCACTCCGACGTCAACTCGCGCCAGGAGAGGTACCTGCTGCGGTACCGGCGCCGCCGCCCGCCGCCCGCCGACGACTACCTCACGGTACGCACCACGCACACTGTCACATCACTCGCCTGCCACTCCGACGTCAACTCGCGCCAGGAGAGGTACCTGCTGCGGTACCGGCGCCGCCGCCCGCCGCCCGCCGACGACTACCTCACGGTACGCACCACGCACACTGTCACATCACTCGCCTGCCACTCCGACGTCAACTCGCGCCAGGAGAGGTACCTGCTGCGGTACCGGCGCCGCCGCCCGCCGCCCGCCGACGACTACCTCACGGTACGCACCACGCACACTGTCACATCACTCGCCTGCCACTCCGACGTCAACTCGCGCCAGGAGAGGTACCTGCTGCGGTACCGGCGCCGCCGCCCGCCGCCCGCCGACGACTACCTCACGGTACGCACCACGCACACTCTCACATCACTCGCCTGCCACTCCGACGTCGACTCTACTAGTTGTTACCCGCGGCTGCGCTCGCATTGAATCCATTAAATAAGTATACTACTAGGTACCTTCATTGCTGGCTGCTCGATGGCGCTGAAGCAGCAAAATGTAAGTATTTTATTTTTTGTTTTTTATATAGATTTGCTTTTTAATAAAAAGTATCCTATGTTGATTCTAATACCTTCAAGAACATGTGTACAAAATATTATGATGATCATTTTTTTTATTAATTTTATTTGTATCTCTGTTGGGTCACATATTTTTTCTTTTTGGATTATAAATATATTATCTAGTACTTCAGCCGCGATTTGATACAGCCAAAGTTTTAATTGCTTAATATGTTCCTCTGGAGGGGATGCTAAATTATCGAAATAAATATATATATATTATATTATATTATAGTTATATACGTAGGTAAATGGATAAATAAAAACATCACTTTCATATTTATAATATTATTCTACATTGAGCCTAGTGCTCATCGTGCGTTATCTGACACTCAAAGAACAACAAGGCAATTATTGTATGTACATATGCCTCCGTAATATTTACTTTGGAATTTACGCATGGAACGTATGGAATTGAACTTTATTTTTCTAAAATAAAAGTAGCCTAACTAAAAATTATTATGTTCGTCTTAATTTATTCGTTTCTTTAAGTACTGATAGGTTCAAACTTAATTTAGGATTAACACAACAGACAGTATTTTCACAGTATATAAAATTTCATAATACATAGCACCCCTCCGATCGATCCCCCGTCCAATTCAAACGGGGATCGATATTACGACGGCCTGAGCCGAGGTTCGAACCCCTAGTGGTCGAAGCCCTCAGACTAAAGTCGTATCCGACAGGCAGGAGTTGGCCTTCAGCCGCTCCATAAGTCCTTCCGCGGTTTTGGAGTGCCATCTGCACTCGCCCCATAACGTCCGGTGAAGCTGAAAGGCCAGCTGCGGCCAACAGCATTAGAGTATTCCGAAAAAAAATATATAGTATTAAGTGATTACGTTCATAAAGTGTCCTACATGTAACGCACTGTGCCCGCCAGCTGGAGACCAAGGACACGAACGTGACCCTGACGAACCTGTACCCGGGCGCGGTGTACGAGATCCAGGTGCAGGCAGTCAGCCACGGACTCTACAGTGAGCGGCACACAGTACTCAAGCCAGTCCGTGAGTATACTGTTGCTGATCAATAATAATAATAATCTCTGGACATCCACATAGCTATGACAATATTATCTAATTGCACTAAGAATGAATGCCTAGCAGTTTCTATGTGGATTACTGCATACCTCTTGTTATTGTGTAATTATTTATATAAAAAAACTATTCAAAAGAACACACAAGTATCTTGCTCATTCTTCTTGTGATGAATTTGCGTTCCGAATGAGTGGTAGAATAAAAAAATATGACTATTCAAAAGTGCTTGTAATGAGTTTATTTCAATAAAGATTATTTTTATTTCTATTTCTATGTGTATATATATATAAGATCTAAGTTATGTGTATCTGGACGTGTCACTTGAATAACAATAAGTACCTACTACTATTGTACTATGTGCTTGTGTCATTCATAAAATGTTTTGTTTTCATGCTGTTCAAAGGATAAGGAGTTTTGTAAGTTGTCAAAAGTTTAAAAAAATCAAATATGTTCCCGCGAAGTCGTCCGCGTGGAATTTACCTTTATTTTCCTAAAATAAAAGAATTTCTCTAAAATAATAGTAACCTAAGTTACTCCTTATTACATCAGCTACCTGCCAAAAAAAAATCGTCAAAATCGGTCCAACCATTTTAAAGATTAGCCGGAACAAACAGACAGACAGACAAAAATTGTAAAAAATTATATATATGCATGTAATAAAAAAGGGGTATTTCAATATTATAGACAGACATTCCAATTTTATTTATATGTATAGATTTGCATTAAATAATATAAAAATTACAGAAAGAAGTATGAAATAATTGTCATTTTCTGTAATATGGCTGTAATTGCAATTAAAAGCAATTTGATAAATAATTATAGTTTTGTATACATAGAATGTACCATTTATGGGGAGTATTAGAGATTACAAATGTTCGTTTTGTCGGGTAAAATAACTGCAAATTTGTTGCAAGAAATTGTCGAGATGAAGCGGTCTTAACTCTTTTGAACTTGAACGTTTTGCCCCGGCTTAAGGAAATACATAGTAACCTGGTCGATACGTAAACCTACGGATAACGTATCGGTCGATGAAATAATATTACCGGTCGCAGGCCCGCTGCCGCCGCAGTCGCTGCGGGTGTCGCGCGTGTCGTCGACGTCCGCGGAGGTGGAGTGGGCGGGCCCCGGGGAGGGCGCGGTGGGGCGGTACGTGCTGCAGGTCCGCGCCGGGGAGCGCGCCCCCTGGACGGCGCCGGCCCTGGACGGGGGGGGCGGGGGGGGCGGGGCCCCGCGCTACCTGCTGGCCGACATGACGCCGGGCGAGCGCTACGAGCTGCGGCTCGACTCCGCCAGCGACGACGCCGCCGGGGACGTCGCGCTCAGCGGACACCCGCTCCACGCCTACCACACAGTCCGTCAGTACCCTCCTCGACTGACACCTCGTACTACCACTACGAACCTATATAACTGTTTGGACACCCGCTCCACGCCTACCACACAGTCCGTCAGTACCCTCCTCGACTGACACCTCGTACTACCACTACGAACCTATATAACTGTTTGGACACCCGCTCCACGCCTACCACACAGTCCGTCAGTACCCTCCTCGACTGACACCTCGTACTACCACTACGAACCTATATAACTGTTTGGACACCCGCTCCACGCCTACCACACAGTCCGTCAGTACCCTCCTCGACTGACACCTCGTACTACCACTACGAACCTATATAACTGTTTGGACACCCGCTCCACGCCTACCACACAGTCCGTCAGTACCCTCCTCGACTGACACCTCGTACTACCACTACGAACCTATATAACTGTTTGGACACCCGCTCCACGCCTACCACACCGTCCGTCAGTACCCTCCTCGACTGACACCTCGTACTACCACTACGAACCTATATAACTGTTTGGACACCCGCTCCACGCCTACCACACAGTCCGTCAGTACCCTCCTCGACTGACACCTCGTACTACCACTACGAACCTATATAACTGTTTGGACACCCGCTCCACGCCTACCACACAGTCCGTCAGTACCCTCCTCGACTGACACCTCGTACTACCACTACGAACCTATATAACTGTTTGGACACCCGCTCCACGCCTACCACACAGTCCGTCAGTACCCTCCTCGACTGACACCTCGTACTACCACTACGAACCTATATAACTGTTTGGACACCCGCTCCACGCCTACCACACAGTCCGTCAGTACCCTCCTCGACTGACACCTCGTACTACCACTACGAACCTATATAACTGTTTGGACACCCGCTCCACGCCTACCACACAGTCCGTCAGTACCGCGCCCTCCTCGACTGACACCTCGTACTACCACTACGAACCTATATAACTGTTTGGACACCCGCTCCACGCCTACCACACAGTCCGTCAGTACCCTCCTCGACTGACACCTCGTACTACCACTACGAACCTATATAACTGTTTGGACACCCGCTCCACGCCTACCACACAGTCCGTCAGTACCCTCCTCGACTGACACCTCGTACTACCACTACGAACCTATATAACTGTTTGGACACCCGCTCCACGCCTACCACACAGTCCGTCAGTACCCTCCTCGACTGACACCTCGTACTACCACTACGAACCTATATAACTGTTTGGACACCCGCTCCACGCCTACCACACCGTCCGTCAGTACCCCGCGCCTCACCCCTCTGTACTCGTACTCTACTCCACCCTGCGACTGACACCTCGTACTACCACTTAGTACCTATATATGTGTTTGGACACCCGCTCCACGCCTACCACACAGTCCGTCAGTACCCTCCTCGACTGACACCTCGTACTACCACTACGAACCTATATAACTGTTTGGACACCCGCTCCACGCCTACCACACAGTCCGTCAGTACCCTCCTCGACTGACACCTCGTACTACCACTACGAACCTATATAACTGTTTGGACACCCGCTCCACGCCTACCACACCGTCCGTCAGTACCCCGCGCCTCACCCCTCTGTACTCGTACTCTACTCCACCCTGCGACTGACACCTCGTACTACCACTACGGACCTATATAACTGTTTGGACACCCGCTCCACGCCTACCACACAGTCCGTCAGTACCCTCCTCGACTGACACCTCGTACTACCACTACGAACCTATATAACTGTTTGGACACCCGCTCCACGCCTACCACACCGTCCGTCAGTACCCTCCTCGACTGACACCTCGTACTACCACTACGGACCTATATAACTGTTTGGACACCCGCTCCACGCCTACCACACAGTCCGTCAGTACCCTCCTCGACTGACACCTCGTACTACCACTACGAACCTATATAACTGTTTGGACACCCGCTCCACGCCTACCACACAGTCCGTCAGTACCCTCCTCGACTGACACTTCGTACTACCACTACGAACCTATATAACTGTTTCATCGTAACTTTTTCTATCGAAGTACTCGTCGCTGACCCCGACTTTTTTCGATAAAGAGTAGGGCACTGGCGATATCGGGACCTCGAGACCCCTTTCTGTACAAAAAAAAAAAATAACTGTGTGTGAGAGTTAAAAATCTTTAAAATAAAACATCGATTGGAGTTGAAACTCGTTCAAAGATTTATCTTCCGACACACCAGTCGCTTCGTACACATTTCAAAATTCATAGATAGACATCCATTGAGTTGCTAAACAACTTATTTCATTTAACAACTGAAATTTACAATGCTTATAAAATTTAATAAATATTTCCATTAAATAATAAATTTAAATATATATAACTCAAGGGTGTTCCATTGACACACAACGAATTCCACCTAGAATTCGTAAGTGATGCTTACGGCATAGCTGTACAGGTCCGAACCCGGTGTCGAACGTGGCGCAGCTGGCCGACACGCGCAACATGACGCTGGAGTGGCCCCGCGCCGGCGGACGCGTGGACTGGTACGAGCTGAGCTGGCAGCCGCTCCTGCAGCCCGGGGCCTGCCCCGAGCCGGCGGCGGAGCCCCGCGCGCCGCCCGGGGCGTCCCCCTGGCCGTCGCCGGAGCCCCGCCGCCTGCGGCTGCAGCCCGCGGCGCCGCCCGCGCGGCTGGAGCGCGCGCTGCTGGACGGCCTGCAGCCCGGCCTCGGGTACAACGTCTCCATCGCCGCGCACTCCTACAACCTCACCAGCGAAGTCTTCACCATGGAAACCAGGACGCGTACGTACACCACCCGCTCCGGTTTTATGAATATGTCACGACCGAGGCTTATAATAATGAAAGTCCCCTACTATAACACTTACAGAGCGAAGAAAGGGAACTGTTAGTAATGTGGACTGATAACTTATTGCTAGCAATGTACCATGTCAGGTTGACCTCCACTCGATTCCGCCTGGAAACCATCATGATAATTTCCTGGTGCATTTCTCACGATGGGCTAACTGATCTGACCTCATGCTCATCGTATCGTCCTCCGCTGGTGCCCCGACAGCGTAAACCGTTAGCGCAGGCGGATGCACCATATCATTGTCATACTTTCTTTTGCCTGGTCTTGATCCCATTTATTTGGGGTCGGGCCGTCTGGTCAGTCTTAGCCAGGATGTTCTGTACTGTATCGTCTGAGATGTTATTTTGGCGCTTTTTATGTCTCTCTCAATAACAGACATCCATGAGAGACGGGGTCTGCCGCATCTTCTGGGCTGGGTACTTATGTCAAGCACTGTTCTTATCATGTGCTCTGATGGTCGCCGCATGACATGACCGTACCACCTTAGGCGGCGCTCTAAAATTTTCTCCCGTGTGGGAATCATCTTAAAACTACCTCCAACGTGGATGTTTTAGATGATGTCGTTCAGCATTGTTATCATACATTAAAAAAAAAACATACAGATAATCTTACAGATAATTTTATAAGTTAGTTCATATATTATTTCACATAAAATTCAATGTGCAGGTCCGTTAATACAATCCGAAATGACGATAGTGAACGAATCGGACGGCGACGCGGACGCTGACAACGAGACGCTCTCCACCATTCTGGTAAATCACAAACACTTGTATCTTATCAGCGGTTATGTTCACCCAACAATGACAGCCTCGGTGTTCTAGTGATTTAGCACACTGCTTTACTATCCGATGGTCGTGGGTTCGATTCCTCGCACGGTACAAATATTTGTATTCATGAGTATGATTGTTTGTATCGGTCTGGGTGTTTTCTATGTATAATATGTATTTATTTACAATAAAAATGTATCCATGTATTTATATCAGTTGTCTAATACCCATAACACAAGCTCTACTTAGCTTGGGACTAGATGGAGCTGTGTGAATTATCCTGAGTGTATTAGTAATGGAAACTAGTTTCAAAAAAATACAATATTACATTATATCCATTCTTGAGGTATAAAACTTCCTAATAATAATAATAACTTTGGAGCATGCAAGCACGATAAGTGATCGTGTGAAGTACGTGGGACACTCAGAAAGTTTTATGACACTAAAAAAAATGTTCTATAGGTAAATATTTTTATTACATCTTTTCAAAGGACTTTCGACCAGTCTCTACAAAGTTTCATGCGTCTGAACCAATTTTCGAAACACTTTCCAGTCTGCCGCAGACACTTCGTTTACAGCCTGCTCGAACGCTGAGAGCGCATATTGTGCCATTTTGAAGTCTATCGTGCGATTCGTTCGGTTTCAGGCGATATAAAGAAAAACATAACGCGAAAATATTCTCGACGCAAATCCATTTCTCAATGAGACACGGTAATTTGAATTGGCTCGCAAAAAATGTGGAGGGAAGTTTTGAATTTAGAACGAACCTATTTTACTTATAATTAATATTTTTAATTTTTAATAAATTATAACTGGCCAGTCGCACATACATAAAAACTTTTTCTCGCAATACTTTCTGAGTGGCCTGGTATTGTGTGTGCAGAAAGTTGTGTACACTCGGACTCCGGCGGCCGCGAGCCAGTTCGACTCGTACCGGTGGAGGCTGGAGGCGGGCGAGCCGGGGGAGGGGGCGGGGGCGGGGCAGGGGGCGGAGCCCTCCCGCGTGGAGGAGCGGGCGGCGGGCGCGGAGGGGCAGCAGGTGGTGTTCCGGGGGCTGGTGCCGGGCCGCCTCTACAACCTCACCATGTGGACCGTCTCCTGCAACGTCACCTCGCACCCCGTGCAGCGTCAGGCGCGCCTCTGTCAGTACCCACGCACCACCTACCACTACACCACCTCATTCACACACCACTGTACAACGAGACGTACAAACTGAAGAGAAAACGCCACTACACATCCTATGTGGTTGTAGCCCACTCATGCATAAACGTAATATCTCCTTTGGAAAGTTTACACTCTTTCTTTGGATATAAAACTATCGCTCCTAAAAATATCCTTCAGTTCTTATCCCTTACGGTGGGAAAAGGGCGAGCATAATAGACCTATGTAGTTTGCAGTGATACAGGTCCATGCAACTGACAATAGCCCAGACAACCCTATAAAAAAACCTGCTCATACTCACCGATTAGCATCATCTTGCTTTATGTGAGCAACTAAGAAGTGACACTCAACCTGTCTATGTTTCCTGCCTCTTGCAACATTGGGTCTTTCAACTCAAATTGAATAGCTAAAAGCTTACTTAATAT